CCGGAGAATCACCAGCCAGTGTTAGACTTGGCAGCAGCTCTTGCGTCCCTTCTCTGAGCTGCTGCTTAGAAAGGATGCACCGTCTGAATACCGAGTGCTGGCCATGGCAGGCCGGGAGCCGCTCTCACAGGCCATAGGAAAGTGACAGGGAGCCGGGAGGGGGCCAAGGGGCCTGTGTTGCCGGACAGGTGCGCCAGTGTGCTCCCCACAGGGTGATCCTGGCAGAACCCACTGGTCTCCAAGGTGACACATCCGGGCCGCATTTCCAGGAGGGCCTGTTGTGAAACATTCAGGAATGTTTGCGTTCCTTCAGAGATTGGTAATTAAGAAGAGGCAGAACTAGTTTTTGCTTGGCCCTCTTCCCTCCCTGCCTCTCGCGCCTCCAGCATTTGGGGCATTTCAATTTCATGATTGGGGTTTTCGTTAGTCCAGGACACAGAGGCTGGAGGCTGCCCTGAAGCTGACATGGGGTGAATCGCTTCATTGGAGAATGGGGGCTGGGAGTTCCAGGCAAGCCCCCAAGTCTGGGCCACATCTGAAAGCGGACATCTCTTCCCAGCCCACATTCTTGGCGCTTGCCCAAGGGGAAACATTGTAGGCCAGAGAAGCACCCACAGTTTCCCAGAGGGGACTGGTTTAAACAGACCGTTCTTCTCTCTGGCAGGAAGAGTGAATGTGTGCACGTGCATATATACGTGTGTGTGTGTGTATTTAAATCTTTGTGCAGCTAAAAACACTTCTCTTCATCCTAGTTCTCTGAATGACACATTGCGGCACACTGAATAATTCATCTCCCTCTTGGCATTTGTTCCAGAGAGAATCTTGCTGTCCAGATTTCTTGTAAGTTGCATAGTCTTCCAATAGAAGGTTTTCTGTTTCAGCTTTTCTCTTTCCCATGGAAGAGCTCTGGGAGCTAGGCTACCAGCCCTCTGGCTTTTCCCCCAGGATTGCATCAAAGGGGAACCCTGAATATCAAACCAGAGCCTACCTTTATCCTCATGCCCTCTCCTTCTGACTTTGGGTCCTCTTGACTCACTCTTCTTTATCCTTGATGGGCATAATGTCTGTGTTCCCTATAAGTGGAAGTCAGCATCTCAGTGGCATATTCTCATGGCAGTCACATATCTGAACCTTGTAGCTAACATTTATCACAGTTCTGACTTCCCAGTATCTAAGGCTGGAACACTCAGTGGAGTTCATGGTTTTCTGGAAAAGTGATGCATTTGGGTACTTTCAGACCTGTCCTATCTCCAGCCTCCATCCTCACCAAGAGTTCAGTGAATTACTAATATCGATGACTTAGATTCTTTGAAACACTTGACTATCTTTTCATCAAGAAGCTGTGGATGATCCAAGTGTATTGAACTCTTTGTACCAAGACACCGATGATTAAAGGTACAAATATACTGAAGCTCCAGTGCCTTTTGCCTACTTCAGACTTGCCTCTGAAGGTCGAGAGGCATTATCCATATCTCTGGCATAGCTTACTTTGTGTTCCAGTTTGTTCTGAGACTCACTTGGTCTTGTTAATTCTTATTAGCAAAGCCTAGGTTTGGAAATCAGGTAGTGTGGCTTTAGGTTATCGCTCTGAGGTTTACTAACTGTGTGATACTGAGAATGTTTTCTCATTTGTAAAATGGATAAGAGTGCCTGTTATCCGGAGAGAGAACATGACATATATAACTTGCTTTCTAAGCCTAGATTTAGCCATTATTAAATATTTTAATTATACTGATATATGAACATTACAGAGAAATTAGTAAAAAAAAAATTACATTAAAACCCCTGGACCGAGATGATATTTTTATGTACATCTTTCCAGTTTCCCATCTATATGTGCTGCCGAAGTGAGCACCCAGTTTCTCTTCTGTACACACACATAAGCACACACAGGCACATGCATGTGTGAACACACATTTTTAGACAAAATATACCATAACAGTATCCTGTAGATGTTCTCTTTCAACAGTGTTGTTTTTCTCATGATCTATTGAGAGCATCCTTCCCTTTTAGCAAAATATAGGACAATACATCATTATTTTTCATTCCTACATATTCATTATTGCAGTCACCCATTCCATAAATATTTATTTGTTTGTGGGGGACACAGAAATCTCTTATTAGATGAACCATTGATGAAACCATTTAATTGATCCCCAGGGAAGACTTTTGAAAGGCACTGATCCCAGAGGAACTGTCAGGAAGGGACATATCTTCTTGATTTTCTGGGTTGCAAACAGTATATATAATAGGATTCCTGTCTGTGCAGCCAGGCTGGCAGGCAGAGCTTTCAGGGCAGAAGCGGGGAGAGGAATTAACCAGAAAGGAAGGTTTGATTCAAGCATGCCCGTTCCCTCACAGATTCTTCTGTCCTCAGTAAGAGAGTGACTCTCTGCAGAGGGGTATGCCTATGTGTGGTTTTTCTTCAGAGGCTCTTTCAGAGATTTGTTGTATCAAATGATGTTGGACGAGACTTGACTCTTTGGTGGTCACTGATCTTCATCCTCTGTAAGAAAGAGAGAACAAACCACTTGGTGAAGTCGGAGGATGAGGAGGTGCTATGAGACATGGCCTTTTTGTTTCTGAAGCCTGGGTAGGGCATGGGGTGGGCAGGAAGTGTGGGCCGAAAACAGTTTGCAGGAACTTTATCCAGAGTTGCACAATTGTGCCTGAATGAAGAGCTTTCCTTGCCGATGAAAGTCCCTGTCACCTGTGTGTCTTTTCCATTTCATTCCTCCTCTGACTCTAAGACAGTGGCTTGGCATTTTCCCCAGGGCTCAGGAGGTACACTGAAAACATCAATCCAAGAGAACCCTTTAGCTCATGACTCTGGAGACACATTTGAGATTCCAGGTTCATCATTGACTTGGAGAATCGTACTTAGTCTTTTCTAGCCTCAATTTTCCCTTCTGGGGAACAGAGATAACAATAATGTTTTCTGAGCATTCATTCACACCAGGATCTGTGCTAAATGCTCCTAAAATATGACGTTATTTAACCTAGCCAATAGCCTGGACAGTTGTTACTATTATCCCCATTTGTCAGGTAAAAATACTGAGGCTCAGGGGCGCCTGGGTGGCCCAGTCGGTTAAGTGATTTCAGCTCAGGTCATGATCTCAGGGTCGTGGGATCAAAACCTTTATGGGTCTCTGCACTCAGCAGAGAGTCTGCTTCTCTCTCTCTCCCTCACTGATCTCTCTCTCTCTCAAATAAATCTTTAAAGAAGAGGAGGGGTGGGCACCTGGATGACTCTGTTGGTTAGGCATCCAGCTCTTGATTTTGGCTCAGGCATCATCATCATCAGGCATCAGGTCATGAGACCGAACCCTGCATCAGGCTCTGTGCTCAGCAGGGAGTCTGCTTGAGATTCTCTTTCTCCCTCTGTCCCTCCTCCCCCTCAAATAAATCTTAAAAAAAAAAAAAAAGAAAGAAAGAAAGAATGATTTAGATGAGGGGCGCCTGAGTGACTAATTTAGTTAGGTGTCTGACTCAGTTCATGATCTCAGGGTCATGAGATCAAGCCCTGCATCAGGCTCTGCACTGGTCATGGAGCCTGCTTGAGGTTCTCTCCCTCTCCCTCTGCCCTATCCTCCCCACCTCCCTTAAGAAAAGAAAGAAAAAAACTGAGGCTCAAAGAGAACAAGTGGCCAAACCCACATAGCCAATATAAGTGATGATTACTGAATCTTTATTTGACGGAGCAGAGTCTGTTGCATATCCTAGTTACCTCTGGCCTCATCCTCATCGTCTCTCACAATATAGCAGCAAATTACTAACACAAGCTTTTGGATTCTCCACTTATTCAGCCAGGAGGTGTTTTTCACGACCTACCTGACTTGGATAGATGGTAGCCCATGAATCACTGCATCCTGCCCATCAGGGGCTCTTTCAAGTGTTCCTTTTCCTCCCCATATATTTTGCTTAAGTCTGACTAAGAGTAGGTATAGGAGAGGAGATAGCACAGTATAAGAGAGAGGGCAGTTTCCTGAGGCCTGGAAGGGAAGGTCTTCATTAGGAATCATAGACCTATTCCAGTCCTCTTTCCTTCTGGCCTGTGGTCATCAGCCTACTGCTTTACCCTGAGAGTGATGAAACAGAGCCTTCTGGACTTCCAGAATTGGGAGAGGTGGGAGCACACAGGAGAAGGAGGACATCTGAATATGTATTTTCAGAAGTGTCAGCCGTGGGAGAGACCAGAAGGGCTTTCTGGATGGGCCACTTGGGCTGACTGGCTGTCTGTCCAGGTTGGTGACTCCCTGCAGTCTGGCTGAAATGCTTGACCAATGGTTTGCACTGTTTTCCCACCTTGATGGCCTTAGTTCATTTAGTTGGATGATTACCACCACTGCACACCAAAATGGGGCCTTAGAGAGTAGCTGTTACTAAAAAGATCAGTTTGGTCTGGATTGTCTAGGGAAGGACAGTGGTGGATGTCAGCATTTGGGAACCTAATCAGGAGGTAAATAAATATTTCTTTTGGCCAAATTCATAGGATTGGAACATCTGCTATTCTAGATGCTGCTATAAACCAGCTTTCCAGAGGGCAAGTGGGCTTGACAAATGTGAACTAGAGCCAGAATGAAGACTGGGGGTGGGGTGGGGAAGTGAGTTGCAGTGAAGAAGCCAGTGAGGGCTGGAGTCCAAGTTCAGGAGCAAGGCTTGACCTTCGAACCCTTTTCTGCAAACCTCTCAAAGATACAGAAACAGAGCCCCCAAGAAGGAAGGAAGGTGACTTGCTCAAATCATTCCCAAATGAGTGGCCAAGTGGGGACTGGAATGAGGTTTCCCTGCCTCCCTCCTGGATGATCTAACCTGCTGCTGCAGCCATGCACTCACCTTCCTGGGACGATGGGGGGCCAGGGGGACAGCAGGGCTGGGGTCAGTGCGGAGTCTGTGGCTCCGTTGGGCCAGCCCAGAGGAGCAGGGAGGCTGAGAGAAGCGGTGAGCTGCAGGGCCTTGGGGACTGTGGGATGATGGAGTCTGTCTCTCCTCTCTGCCAGGTACACCAAACCGCTCACCTTTGCTGACTGCATTAGTGATGAGTTGCCGCTAGGATGGGAAGAGGCGTACGACCCACAGGTTGGAGATTACTTCATAGACCACAACACCAGTAAGTTCCTGGCCAGCCTCCCGTCCCCATCCTGCACTCCATCCCTCTACCTCCACACCCCTCCCCTCAAGTCTGAAAGAGCTCCCGGCAGAGATTCTTGAAGCCAGATTGTGTTTTGTTTTATATAGAGTTAGACAGAGATGTCAATGTAGATATAGATAGATAATGTATGCTCATACAAAATAACCATTTAGAAGGGTTTTAAATAGAATCTAAAACTCCCCGCTCACAAGCCAGCTCCCCAATTTTACAGAAACAGCCACTGCTAATAATTTCTTGTGTATCATTCCAGAAATGTTCCAATTGTATGTTTGTGTATATGCATATATCCTTTTTATGTATATATATCTCAATTTTTGTGCATACGGATTTTTTTCCATGTAAGGCAGATGTGTCATTGTCCCTGGCAGGCCATTTTGGAGCAGCTGGAGCCCCCACATGTCCCTGGCAGTATGCATACATGTGTGTCTATAGTGGATTGGTATGAGTGTGCGCCTCCAGCCCCTCATACCCAGTCAGCCCACCCTCACTTTGTGTCCATGATCCAAGTGTCCTGATCCAGAGTAAATATTCCTAGTGTCTTTGTCTCTGGGACTATGATGGTGGAATAAATTGAGAAAGGGACAAGCATATTGTCTGACAGGTGGAGGAACCCAGGTCACAGTCCCCCTGCCAGGGAGAGTTGATATATATTTGGGCTTTATCCTTAGTACACTTCCCGGCCAGGACTATTTCCTGCCCTCTGGAATTTGCTGCCCCATTCATTTATCCAAAGCCTGTCTCACTCTCAACCTTCTGAAGTGTAGGGTTCCCTTTGTTCTTTCAGGCAAGAGGAGAATGGAATGAAATGGGATGTGCCTGGCCAAACCTGAGGGCTGAGAATAGAGCACAAAATCCTAAAAACCCCAGTTCACTGAACATACATTCTGTGCAGTGTGCTCAGGCACCTGATAGTCATCATCTCATTTAATCCTCCCTGCTCCCCCATGGAGTGTTAGGATGATTATCCCCATCATATAAATGGAACTTAGAAGTCTAAACTGACTGCTTGACACTCAGAGCTAGAGCATGGTGGAACTGAGGTTTGAGTTGTGCATCCCCATTCAGTTCCTCCTTGGGGTTTCACTAGCACCTGGCCATGCTCTTTTGTGCCCCTCATCACTCTGTGGTATAACCATTTGCCTGTTGTAAAACAGGACATTATCTAATTCACTGCTCCAGTCCCATACCTGTGCTTGGTAAGGCACATAGTAGGTGCACGTTTTTCCTCTGTTAAATAGGAAAGGGCACATGTGCATGAATTCATGACTAAATAAATGAATGAGCAGACTTGGTTGGCACCAAAGTGTAGAAGAGTTTCTGAGAGACAGCTAATGGCATTAATTGCATTGTTGGGGGTAGCAGAGGTTTTTATTAGCACTCATGATTGCATGCTGGATAATGAGAAGTAAATATGCCTAATTGAGTGTGTACAGGGAATGAGGTTAATGCTTGGAGGGCCGCACGGTATGCTGGGTTAAACACTGATGCACAGGAACCCTAACCAGTCCTCTCCTTGTGTTTAATTGCTGAGTTCATCCCCCTCATTAAAATCTGATGGCGAGAGTGGGATTTTAAGGTGCTTCTGGGAGTTGCTGGAGAAATAGAAGGGAGGAAGGAGCAGCAGGCAGTGGCAGAGTTTGTTCTTGAGAGGATGATGGTAGAAATGGGGTATATGGGCAGGTGAGTAAATGGGGGCCACCATAGGAAGAATTCTGATAGTTTTACCAGCTATCAGGCTATTGGGTGCCTTTAGCTCTGAAGTTGTTCTCCTTGGATGGAGGGCACCACTTCTGCAGATGGAGCCAGTGATACAGGTGGAGTGAGTGTGACTCTCGAGGCCCAAGCATTCAGAGCAATGGACTCGGACCAGTCCTCCGTGTTTGTGTGGTTCATGGACTGAAATTACCTTCTTCCATTATAGACCCAATAGAAATAGGACAAATTAAATCCACCATCTAGCATCCATTGATTCAGCAAATATTCACTGGCCACCTATCATGTTCCAGGTACTGTTCTCAGAACTTGGGATACGTGACAATGCAAAATGGCAAGGTTTCTTCCCCTAATAGAGCTTCCATTTTAGCAGAAAAGCCAAAAAAAATAAATAACATAAATAAGCTGATGTATTAATTAATTGGAGTATTATGGGAGAAAGAGAAAGAGTGTGAGCTGAGACATGTGGGGGTACATTTGAGGGTAGTGGGGAAGGACAGTGGTGATAGTCTTTAGAAAGAAGATCTGGTTTAGAAAATGAGATTTTTAGGAGCTAAGACTTGAGGGAAATAAGGGGGTATTTTAGGTAGAGGATTGATAGAGCAAGAACTCTGAGGGATGGTCATGTTCAGCTTGCACAGCAATGGCAAGGAAGCAGGTGTGCACATAGCAGAATGAGTGAGTGAGGAAGCCAGGAGAAGAACATCAGGCCAGAGAGTTGCAGAGCATAGATGGGGTGGTATTTTGCAAGGTGATCTGCCTTATGGGCTCTAGCTTTTGTTCCATGTGAGATGAGAGCCCTTGAAGAGTTTTAAGCAGATGAGTGGCATGATCTGCTTTATGTCATAAAAAGGCCACTCTGGCTGCTTTACTGAGAATAGACCTTAGTTGAGCAAACACAGAAGCAGAAATCTTGTGAGAGATGATTACAGTAGTTCGAGTGACCCAGACCAAGGCCACAGTGGTGGAAGTGGCAAAAAGTGGCCAGATGTGGATGTATTTTCAAGGTAGAGCCAATAGGATTTCCTGGTAGATTGCATATGGAGCATGAAAGAGGAATGAATGATGCTCATGGAGACTGAGCAACTGGCAGGATGGAGTGTCATCGACTGGATGGAAAAAATTGGAGGATAACTGAGTTTAGAAGGAAAACAAGAGCTTGGGCATGTTGAGTCTTCCATGTCTGTTACACATTTAAGATATTGCTGGCCAATTTGATAAAGGACTCTGGAGTTTGGAAAAGAGATCTGGGCTAAGATAGTTATTTGGGAGTTGTTGGCATATAGGTAGTATTTAAAGACATGAAACCAGCTGAGGTCATCAAAGGAGTAAATCAAAGACAGAGAAGAGGACTGAGAAGTGAGGCTTGGGGTCCTCATATAGTAAGGGGATACAGAGAAGGGAAAAACCAGTGGTGACCTTGAGGAGTGACCAGGAAGGAGAGAGGAAAACCATGCTATCTTAGCAGCTATGTGAAGGAAGTACGTCAAAGAGAGGGTCTTGAATCCTGTTGAATACTTCTGATGGATCATGTACCAAGATGACTGAGATAGACCCAACTTGGGAGGGCAGCTTTGGACAAGGACTCAGGGCAAGAGCCTGACTACAGTGAGTCTGAAAGAAGCTGGAGGAATGAGGAGCAGCAAATATAGACAATGCTTTCCAAAATATGACCCATTTTATTAATTTCAGTACTCCCACTATTTACATCCATCATAATTAGATGGTTTTAATCAGTGATCAAGTTGTGTGTTTTGCCACTTTCTCTTCATGCTTTGAGTATTTGAGAGATACCATGTAGTCTTTATATTTGTCATTTTTAAAAAAGATTTATTTATTTGAGAGAGAGAGTATGGGTGGGTGTTTGCACAAGTGGGGGAGGGGCAGAGGGAGAGGGAGAGAGAATCCTCAGGCAGACTCTGTTGACCACACAGCCAGAGGCCAGCCTCTATCCTACAACCCTGAGATCATGATCTTAGCCAAAACCAAGAGTTGGATGCTCAACGGACTGCACCATCCAAGTGCCACCATATTTGTCATTTTTAATGTATTGAGTAGATGTGGTGTTACATGTTAACACATAAATATACCATAATTGCCCTCATTGCTGACCTTTTGTGTTATTTCCATTTATTTGTTAGAAATAAATAACACTAGAGGGAGAATCTTTATTCATATTGCTTCTCTCCTTTGTGATAATTTCATTTATATTTCCAAATAGAGGATCACAAACTGAAAGGTTATGAACATTTTTGAGACTTCTGGTCCATATTCCTAGATTGATAAGTATTTCCAGAAAATTTTAGCAATCTATATTGCTGCAGGCAGCCAGATTACTGTTTTCCTGATACCTTGATCAGTATGGGGCTATTTTCTTTTCTTTATGTTTTGATAAATCCATCATAGGTTGTAAATTGTTACTTCACTGCTTTTCATTTGCATTCTTTTGCATAGTAACAAGGTTGGGCATTCTCCAGATGTTCAGCTGTTTTTAAGATGATTGTTGTTAAAGCCTTTGCAAAATACAATAGTGTTAGCCACATGGATGGGTGTGTGGTGTGTGTAGAAAGTGGGTGTGTGGTGTGTAGAGGTGGTGGGGTGTGGAATGTGTGTAGAACTCATCAGTTCAAAATGATTGCCGGTTTTTTTTTTTTTTATAAAATTCAGTATATGCTTATCATGCAACACAGCAGTTCCACTGCTGGATAGTTTTACATGGGAGAAATGCAAACATGTACGCATTAAAAGACTTGTACATGCATGTCCATTAAAGCTTTTCATGATAATCCCAAACTAGAGGGGCGCCTGGGTGGCTCAGTTGGTTAAGTGTCAGACTCTTGATTTCAGCTCAGGTCATGATCTCAGGGTCCTGGGATCAAGCCCTGCATTGGGCTCCAATGTCAACAGGGAGTCTGCTCGTGAATTTTCTGTCTCTCTCCTTTTGCCGCCTCCTCCCATTCATAGGCACCCACGCACTCTCTCTCAAACACTTTTTTTTTTTTTTTTTAGAAATCCCAAACTAGAAACAACCTAAAAGTTCATCAAAAAGTGAATTGTGATAACATTCACATAATAGAATATTATTCAGCAATAACAAGAAACAGGTCACTGATAAAACAATATAAATGAGTCTTAAAAGCCTTATGCTGAGCATGAGAAGCAAGTCCCAGAGAGTACACTCTGTATATGGGTCCATTGATGGGAAGTTCTAAACAGGTAAAAGTGGAGGGAGGAGGTGGATGGCGGTGACTGGGAAAGAGTACAGGGATTGTTAAGGTAAAGGGAATGTTTTATACATTGATGCAAGCAGTGGTTAATGGTGTACACATTTGTCAGAACATATTGAACTATACACACTTCAAATGCCTGCACTTCATTGTATTTAAATTATGCCTTAATAAAGTTGATTTAAGCAATATACTGATACCCACTTCATAGTGCAGACCAATTGAATGGGAATCTCGGGGATAATTCTAACATGCGGCCAGGCTGAAACCAGTATTCTGATGTGGGGTTGTGTGTTGTTTGTCTGGGGCAGCCCCTGTGGCCCAGCGGTTTAGGGCCGCCTTCGGCCCAGGGTGTGATCCTGGAGACCTGGGATGGAGTCCCACGTCGGGCTCCCTGCATGGAGCCTGCTTCTCCCTCTGCCTGTGTCTCTGCCTCTCTCTGTCTCTCTGTCTCTCTCTCTCTCTCTCTCTCTCTCTCTCTCATAAATAAATAAAATCTTAAAAAAAAAAGAGAGAGAAAGCCTGGACCACCAAAAATGGTGGCTGACCAAGCCTTCAATTAAGGCTCTCCCATAAATTTATGTTTCAAAGAGTAGGACCTCTGCCACAGGGCGGGCACTACTAAAGGGAGCACTGGAGAGAGGGAGGGCTCATCCACGTGTGCCCTAGCTGCTCCTCTAGGGCCCGGTGATTCAGCGAGCCCTCTGGTGGGTGATCCCACCTGGAGTTCAGCATCACACCTGCCAGCCTAGCCTGTCAGCTTCAGTGATCACTCAGCCCATCTGTGTTGTCACCTCTTAGTGGTTTTCACCTTTGGTGACACATTGGAATTATTTGGGGAGCTTTGCAAATCACCTTTGCCTCATTCCCACCCCGAGAGATTCCGATCTAATTGATCCAGGTTGGGACCTGGGCGGGAGTGTTAAAATATGCCCAAGTGATTCTAATGTTGCACTTAGGGCTTCTCAGCCCTATCTGCATTTCAGAGTCACCTGGAGAAGCTTATACAACTCACAATGCCTGGGTCCCACTCCTAGAAATTCTGATGTAAGTGTTCTGGGGCAGAGTTCAGGCTTCTTTGTTTTTGTTTTTTGTAGCTCCTCAGCTGATTCTAATACATTGCCAGGACCCAAAATTACTGGATGAAGTACTAACATTTCTTCTAAAGCAGTTTTGCTGAGAATCTGGGGGAAAAGACACTTTCATAGGCTGTTTGTGAGAATAAAAATTGATATAACCTTTTGGAAGGTAATTTGGTTGTATCTGCAAAAATTAAACAAAAACAAATATTTCTATATATTTATATATACCCTCCGACCCAGTAGTCCCTCTATTAGGAAATATATTCTGCAGAATTAATCACACAAGTTCATAAAACTGTTTTTAACAATTGTCACTGCAGTATTGATTGTAGTAACAAAAAAAATGAAAATAATCCAAAAGTTTCCCAATAGTGGTCTGAGAAATCACTAACACTCTACCATAAATAAAGCTTAATACCATACCATACAATGATATGCAACCATTTAAATGGTTGAAGTAAATAAAAAAATTTAAAAATAAATAAAAACAGTAAAACCAATAAACAAAAAATTGAGTTGCGTCTGCACTCATGGGAGGATGAGTATGATACATCATTTGCAGATGGAAGCAGATTACAGACTAGTATATATGACATGGGGCTATTTTGCATTAAAAATAAATTAGTGTATATAGATACATATGTATAAACAGATTGACATATAATCAAAGGATAGTATCTTTTAGTATCTGAGACTCCTAGCAGCATTTACTCCTGGGTAGTAGAATTAGAGACATGGAAACTCTCACTTCGTGTTTTATAAATTTGCAGTGGTGGAATTGTGAGATTTTCCTTTTAGGTATTTTTCAGTATCTTTCCCCAAAAATATAAATTTTAAAAAGTTACAAACTTAAGAAAACATCTCCAACCTGGTGCCATGACCAGCTGTTTCTTTTATGTGGTTTCTGTCAGCTGGAGGTCTGAGGCTAGTGCTTGAAGGGCAGTCAAGAGTCCCTGACTCTGAGAGTCCACATCTACTGATGGGTTATGGGCCCTAGCCTTATAAATGCTCCCCTTCTTAATTTTTTCTTGCAAATGTCCCTCCTCCTTTCTTAGTGGAAGAGTTGCAAAGTTTTTCTTATGAGGAGCAATCTTGTGGCTCCTGCCAGCAATCTTAAGCCCTTGTTTTCTTTTCCAGAAAAAGGGAGGAGGAAAAGCTAAAGGAATTGCTATTCGTGGACAGTTCAAAAACTGGTCCCAGAAAAGAGTTTGTGCTTTCCTCTCAACCACCGTTTGTTTACTTTACCTGAGCAGAAGTGCTTTATAGCTTCCTAGGAGGCAGGGCTGATTATCCTCTTTAGTAATTATAGAAATATAACCTCAGAGAGGTTAAGCAGCCTGCCCATTGTAACACAGCAATTACTGGCAGGGATGAAAATTTGGCCCTGCCACTTTTTTTTTTTTTTAAGATTTATTTATTTATTTAGAAAGAAAGCATGTGCACACATGCAAGCAGTGGAGAGGGGCAGAGAATGAATCTCAAGCAAACTCTGCGCTGAGCACAGAGCCTGGTGTGGGCCTCGATCTTAGGACCTGAGATCAGACCTCAGCTGAAATCAAGAGTCAGTCGCTTAACTGAGTGAGCCACACAGGCATCCCGGCCCTGCTGCTTCTGTGATCATTCTCCCTATCCTTTTTTGCTTTCATTAGAAATGCTCATTTGGGCCTGTGCAGGAGGAATGAGAGCTCTAGGGCCTATATAAAAGGAGGCATGAACTCAGATTCTCCAGGAGTCAGAACCATGACCCAAATGAATGAAGCAGACCAACAGACTGATGGAGTGCTCGGGTCTGTGGCAGACTGTGGACTCAGTGTGGCCAGATCTTCTGAGAAACCAGATATCAGGATTCTAATGTTTAAATCTCCTATTTTTACGTACTAGTAACCAACTCAAAACTAATAAAACACTTTGGGTTAAGCAAAACCTGTCTGCTGGCTGGGTTCACCACATGGCCATGATTGTACAGTTTCTGGTGTGTCAGCACCCCTGACTCTCCAACCTCACCCCCCACTTGGGAAGTGGCTGGAGCGTTGGCAGTTGATGGGCATTGATTCTCTGACATTGCTTTGACCTGTTCCATGTCGTTCAGCTGCCTGCTGTCCCTTTCTCTAAATGTCTATCTTTTTTGGGTTTTGACTTTTTTTTTCAAATGATCACTATACATATTTATAGATAATTTTTTTCAAAAAGAATGAAGAAAAAATATCCTACTACTACCAAGGCATATCTAGTGCCGATAATGTGCTAAGTTGTCTCCTAATCATTTTGAGAATGTACGTATAATTTCAATAATCAAAATTATTTATATGGTTTGCCCTCTGTACTTCTACTCATATATCATAGGCCCCTTTCCATTTCATCCTATTTCTTTGAACACACTATTTTTAGTGGCTGTGGCAGTGTATTATGTAAAACACAGCAGACCTATTTGGCCAGTTATTTTCCATGTGACCTTGAGCAAGTTATTTGATCTGTGTCTAGATTTTCCCTTTTGAGTAGTGGGTGTCAAAATGGAATCTTCCCTTTAGGATTAGTGTAAGGATTGAAGGGGTAAATAGATGTAACGTAGTTAGATCAGTACCTGGCATAGAGTAAACATGAACTAAGTGCTAGTTGTTATTTTCATTATTATTATTATCCCAGTTTGGTACAAATGTATGTTTGCCTATATATTTTATTATGTTTAATAATAAATTAGGATGGGGGTATTATTGGTCAAAGGTATTCACACTTTAAGGGTCTTTATTTGCATACTCTGTCCTCTTCTAAATATGCTTTAATTTACATTGCCAGCAGGAAATGAGGTCCTTATTTTTTCATACCATCTAAAATATTATTTAATTTTCTTTACCAAAACAGATGACCTTAAGCATCTATAATGTCCTTGAGCCTCTATCTAGATTAGAACTCAAACCTGGTCCTTCTGGCTGTTCTGAGACAGATTGACTTTGGGTATGGAAATTGATTCTGGTTATTTTCTGTTCGTTTGCTTAATCCAAGTGGAGAGTCACTGTGGTTTAATAGGTTAAGTTTAACCCATCTGCCTTTATCGTGATTTCCTATTTATTCTGCTTTTTGATTTCTGGTAGTAGACTCCACAGGCCACCGACCCAACAGATTATTTGTGAGGTGCTGACCTAGGGTGTCTGCTGGGGTCTGTTCCAGAAACCACTCAGATCGAGGACCCGCGGGTCCAATGGCGGCGGGAGCAGGAGCACATGCTGAAGGATTACCTGGTGGTGGCCCAGGAGGCGTTGAGCGCGCAGAAGGAGATCTACCAGGTGAAGCGGCAGCGCCTGGAGCTCGCGCAGCAGGAGTATCAGCAGCTGCACGCCGTCTGGGAGCACAAGCTGGGCTCCCAGGTCAGCTGTGAGTACCTCCCACCACCAGCACCCCACCAACACCTCTGCAGGGAGGAGGCAGTGGCTGCACCCAGTCCTGGCTGGCTTGTCTCTCAGCGCTTCTCACATCTGCTGTTTCCTTCCATCTCTGCTTCTCCGATGCCTCTCCTGCCCCTGCTTGTGCCTTGCAGTGATTCATGTGCCATTTTCGTGCCATTCCTTTCATTCGTTTGCAGTGCTCTCCGACTGCCAGGTGGGTTACAGATCTCCTCATGTAAAGCCCTTCAAAGGCTACGGGGTGTGGGGAGTAGGCAGTTCTTCCGTAACAGATGGAGTTTCAAGTGGGGAAGATGAAAAAGCTTCTGGAGATGGGTGGTGGTGATGGTTGCACAACAACATAGATGTACTTAATGCCCCTGAACTGGACATTGAAAAATGATCAAAGTGGTGAATTTTATGTTACGTATATTTTACCACAGTTAAAAAAAAAAAAAAAAAACTTTTGGCAGCTTCCCGTCGTTCCTTCCATGGCTTCCACCGCCATTTGTGACCAGGCCCCCGCTGGCTGCCCCCACCTCGTCTCTTGCGGCCACTCACTGCAGCTCAGGCTCATTCACTAGGCTCCAGAGTCCCCCACTCTACTGCCCTGGCCTGCCCTGCACCTTTCCACCTCGGGGTTCTTGCTCTTGCTGCACCCCTGCGTAGAATGCTCTTCTTGCGTCCATTTGCACAGCTGGCTCCCTCTGACCCTTCCAGTCTCATTCTTCCTGTCATCTCTGAGAGGCTCACTCTGACAACTCCATCAACAGACTCCCTTCCCTACTGTTAGCCTCTGTAATGCCTCTCTGTTTATTTTCTTCGTAGCGTGTGTCACAAGACATCTGCTTACATGTCTGTCTGCATTACCTCCACTGGCGTATTAACTCTGTAAGGGCAGGGCTCCTGTCTTCCCGGTTCACACTAGTATCCAGGAGAACAAGCATGCTGGGGCCCTAGTCCCTCGTACCCAGGGCAGTGCCAGAACAGTACCTGTTCAGGAGTTCACTCATCTTCTCCTAGGTGTTGGGGATTTTTGTCTTATTTCTAGTAACCAATCCCTCCCAGTGCATATTGAGTGCTTAGTACATGTTGGGCCAAACATGCTATTTTATTGAATCCTCATAATAACCCCTGTGGGCAAGTACAGTTAATGTCCCCTCTCACAGATCAGGAAACAGATTAGAGGGGTCGATGACATGCCCAGGGTCTTAAAGCTAGTGAGAAGCAACAGGAAGTTGTAAACCCATCCCATCTGTCCCACCAGCATTCTCTCTGTGGATCAAGGGGCCAGCATTAGGCTGTGCCATGACTTGGCTGGGTTACCCGACACTTCTCTGGTATGAAGCTCTCACTTTGAGAAGTTTAGTCTGCCAGGGGGACAAAACTTGCCCAATTACTCACTGTCCCAGGCATATCCTTTTCCTTGGTGACTCAAGCAAACCCCTAGCATCTCAGATTATGGAAAAGAACTTCATTACCTTTTTCTAGGTCAAGTAATGTCCAAGAGACTGCCATGAGCATTTTAGTATTTAATCTGTTTTAGATAGCTCAGGCTGCCGTCACAGAATCTCACAGAGTTCGTGGGTTACACACCAGAAGTGTATTTTCCCATTGTTCTGGAGGCTAGAAGTCCAAAATCAGGATGTCAGCATGGTGTGGTTCTGGTGAGAGCCCTCTTCCTGGCTGCCAGATGGCTGTCTTCTCATTGTGTCATCACATAGCACAGAGACAGCATGCTACCTGGTGTCTCCTCCTATAGGGTCACTAACCCATTATGAAAGCCCCACCCTTGTGACCTCATCTAAACCTAATCACCTCCCAAAGACTATCTTCAAACTCCATCCCCTTGGGGGCTGGAGCTTCATCATATGGATTGGAGAGGGGAAGGTGGGGGATAGAATTCAATTTATAGTGTTATCCTCACCACAGCCCTGGCAGGGAGATATTTTGTCCCTACTGAAACTCAGGTTTGAAAAGGTTGGGTCTTTTTTTTTTTTTCTCTTAAGTCCTGCAGTCTGAAAAGTGACAAGTGTGTATAAAAACAAAACTTCCTATTTGGGGGGACAGGATGCTTTTACGTGGACCAAAAATATCACCCCACAAATCACTCATTTGAGAGAAGTGTATTTTCACATGGGAGAGAACTATAGCCACCACCTCACACAGGTATAAAATTAGCATCACCATAAGGAGACGAACTGGCATTGCATGCCTTCTGATATGATTCGGTAAGAACAGTATGGAGGGTGCCTGACAAAAATGTTTACTTACCATCAATCAAATCAAGAAACACCCAGACAGATCCATAAAGTGGAATATCCTACAGGATAATCAGCCTGGAGTCTTTGGGGTAAAAACACACTGAAAAACCAGAAAGAGAGGAAACTATTCTAGACTTAAAAAAAAAAAAAAAAAAAAACACAAAACTCTGGAGACATAAACCAAACTAAATGTCTGTACCCTGATTAGAACTTGGATTAGGGCGGGGGGTAGGAGGCAGCCAAAGAAGACATTCTCAAGCATTTGGAAAATTGTCATAAGTATGATCATCATGTTGTGGCTATGTAGGAGAATGTCCTTGTTCTAACGACATGCACGTGGCATTGTGTCTGCAGCTTAATTTCCAAAGAGCAGGGGGAAAAACTATGCCATCAGTGTAAGTGTGTCCATCAGTTGCTGCCAATGACATGTTGATGGCTTTGAATATAGGATAGGCTTTCATTTTTGGTGACCATTTTCAATAACCGTTTGTTGAGGGATTGCTATGAACCGAATATCCTACTGAGAGAAAGAATTGGAGTGGATGGAGGGATAGATAAAACAAATGTGGCAAAAATGTTAAAAATTGGTGGACATAGGTAAAGGAGGACATATTGATATTATGTTATTCTTTCAAAAAGAGGTCGGGGTGCAGAAAAGAGCCAGATGGGCAAGAATAATGGATTGGTGCAGAAAAGAGCCAGATGGGCAAGAATAATGGATTCCCACAGAAGCCTGGCAGACATTGGACTCTGACCTCAGAGAGCCTGGGTTCGAATCTCCATTCCACTGTTACTGTGTTCTCTTGGGAAACATACTTGGCATCTCTTTACATCTGAGATTCCTTCTGTTTAAGTATGAAATGTTAATAGTACCCTCCTCTATTTGGGGCCAGATAAATCTTTATTGTAGGGGCCATCCTGTATATTGTGGGGTATTTGGCAGCACTTCTGGTCTCTACCCACTAGATGCTAGTAGTACCCCTCCACCCCAGGTTGTAATAACCAAAAATATCTCCAGACACTGCCAAATGTACTCTAGGGGGTACAGAATTTCCCCAGTCAAAAACCAATGGTATAGGTAAAACAATACCTTTAGAACATGTTAATGGTTCAATTTTCTTCTTGGCAGGAAATACTTTACATAATATTTTGAAAGTGTGGACTTTGGAGCTGGACTGCCTGGGCTTAAATCCAGGATATGCAACTTACTAGCCGTGTAACCTTGCCCCAGTTATGCCACTTCTCTCCACCTCAAACTCTTCATCTATAAAATTGATAAAATAATGTTATCACCTTCACTGAGGTATTATGGGGCTTAAATTCATTAACAGATATAAGTACTTGGAATAGTACTTGTCATATTCTTAAGCTCTCAATAAATAATAACAATTATCTGATATTATTAATTCATTGGCATTGAAATGACAAAAATGGGATTTTAATAGATCCTATTAGTCTTATTTTAACCAATAAGAATAAATATATGATCAGTGGTAGGAAGTAATGATGTACTCCTATCATGTGCACACTCCCAAGAGCTCCATCAAGTCCAAAGGCACCACTGATTTGAATGTTAAAGAACTTCCATCTGAAGTGACTTGGGTCATCTCAGGTAACTAGATCTGAGATCTAGACCAGCCAGGAATTGAGGTGTCCCCAGCCTAAGCATGCCTGTTAAAGTCTCATGACTTTCTTTTGGGTTTTACAAGCCAAGTCTGTCTTCCAAGTCAAGCTCTGCACATGTTGATGGACCAGTGAGAGCACATGCCTTGCTTCTAACTCCGATGGCCTGCCCAGGCTTGTGAAATTTTTGCCACCTGGCCTTGGCCACAGGTGGGGCCCTACCCTGGGGATGGAGACTTTGTTGTTATCTCTGGTGTACTCTAGCTCCATGGAGAAGAGAACTAACATTGAATGTGCACCTGTTATATTCCTGCTGGGCAATATGATAGATGCACATAGGTTATTTGAACAATCCTACAAGATACTGTTTTTCCCATTTTACAGATCAGGAAACTGAGGCCCAGAGAAGGGAAGGAGTTTCTCCAAGGTCACTCCAGTAAAACGTGGCAGAGCTGGCCTTTCTACCAGGAATATCAGACCTCAAAAATACTTCTCTTCATATAGATCAGCCAGTCAAATTTTAAGTTTCATGTGTTACATTTGAGTCCTCCTATCCTCTGAAAAATGAGAACTCAGAAGAGCTGGGTTCTTTGGGATCTCATCACATTCCTTCCTCTCTCTAGGCCTTGGTCTCCCATGTGAAAAAGAAATCACTGGGAACGTAGCAGTTAAAAATGCCAGTTGAACCACCCACCTGATCTCACTCACATCTAAAACAAAGGAAATATCAAATAAGAGATTGTTGTTAAGGAGTATATGCACAAAGACAGGGAGACCTGGAGGATGTGGAAGCTGGAAAGCAAATGGGCAGGTGACAGCCTATCTGGTAGACCCGAGAAAAGACAATATGGGCCACTCACAAGGAAAACCAGCGAGCACTCTGGTCTACACAGATCACTGGCAAAAGCCATGGGAATTGGAGACTGCAGATGTCCCCGGGAGTGCAAGTGAAGTGACAAAGGCCTCAAATAAAGAAGATTAGATGAAAGCTAAGCAGACCTTCTCCCCCAATTGGCTCAGCCCATCCCCAACCTGGCAAAAGACTGGAGGGTTTGTGGGGTTTTTTGGGTTTTTTCTTTTCTTTTCTTTTCTTTTCTTTTTTTTT